TGTATTTTGGAGTAGAGTGTGAACAGTTAACTAAAACGTTCTGCATCACATATTTCTGTAGATTAACTTTTACCTGCACAAATTTGTTTCATATTTTACTTTTGTCAAACACCTGTATGCTAATTAATAACAACAAAAACTTTTAAAGCAATGAACAATGTTTCTGACACATGATTTTAAGTCAAAAATTACATTTTTTTGCTCTAATGTTGAATTCATTTCCTAGCTTAAAGCACATGATAAATTTTGTTTAGATTTAACTTATCTTAAATGATATTAAATTAACATTCTATTTCATTTACAAACAAATAAATAAAACTTTGATAATTAACCCCAGAAAGAAACAAATAAACTGGGCATTGATTTCTCAGGAATAGTAGGCCTATGTTTCTAAAATACAAGGCACACCATACAGAGCATCAAACATGTAACTGTTTAACCATTGCACGTATAGCAGTTCGTAAACCTATGGCCATTTCTGCTGCTGTGTATGACCCATCAAGTGGTGGAACATGTATGAATGCAGTACGATCTTTGTCTATATGTAAGGACGTGAAGTAGGTGAAATCACAAAGATATCTGGGAGAAAATCAGATAAAAATACACATATTTATATGTAAAGTTAAAATGAAAACATTTATTCCTCAACAATCACAACAAATAATACATTCAACAAATCAAGTTTTTGCAAATAAGGTTGACTGTAATAGATCAACATTTTCTAAGACCCCTTTTACAAATTCCGCCAGAGGAAGACGTTGATGGATATCAAGAATATAATTCAAATCACTGCAAAAGAATGTCTTGGTGTGTCCACCATAAACAGAATCAACAAACAGTTCGATACAAAATGTGAAGAAGCAGCAGTAAGAAAAAACATGCCAGGCAGATTTGGTTAAATGATACTAATAACATACAAAATGAAGAAAAATATAGAACAGAATGTAAAGAAGCTACAAAAGTAGTTAGGCACCAAAAGCGAGTATACATGAACAACATTGTCATGGAAATGGAAGCTAACCCTCAAAACAACGAACTCATTACGTTTTTTTTTTTTTTTTTTTACAGAAATGAAGACTCTAAAACGAGGACATTAACAAAGCATTTATAGTTTAAAAAATCAGAATGGATACATGATAAATAATAATATGGAAATATGTAACAGATGGAAGGAATACTTTGCTGAATTATTAAACTGTGAAACCCCACTTAATATTTATCTACAGGAAGAGATATTAACATGTGAACCAAATATTGAAGGGCCTGATTTTGAAGAAGGACTGTATGTTATAACACGGCTTAAAAACAATAAAGCAACTGGTGCTGATGGAATTGCAGCTGAACTTTTAAAAGAAGGTGGTCATGCATTACATGTAAAGATATGTGAATTAATCAAACTAATTTGGAAGACAGAGAAATTACCCCATGAATGGAAAGTGTCTTTATTAGTACCCATTTTTTAAAAAAGGAGACAAGTATAAGTGTGAAAATTATAGAGGAATATCACAATTATCTACAAGCTATATGATACTATCAGCGATACTGCTAAACAGGTCAAAACCATACGTCAAAGACATATTGGGAGATTACCAAGCATGTTTCCGACAGAACAGATCAACAATAGATCAGATATTCATTTCATGGCAAACAGCAGAGCAAAACTGATAATATAGAAAAGATGTACATATTGTTTTTGTGGATTTTAAAACGGCCTATGATAGTGTGCATAGGAACAGTTTATGGAATCCTATAAAGGACTTTGGAATACCAAAAAAGTTAATTAGCATAACCAAACTGTGTATGGAAGACACTTGTAATATAGTAATGTATAAAGGCAGAAAGTCAGATCCTTTTCAAATAACATCTGGTTTAAAGCAAAGTGATGCTCTGTCCCCACTTCTTTTCAACTTGGCCCTGGAGAAAATTATAAGAAAACTGAAACAAGAGTGTACTATAGGAGAAACTACAAGAATACTTGGGTATGCTGATGACATTGATATCGTTGGAGAAAATGAGTTAGAGACTGTTAAAACACTGACTGTCTTAAAAGAATCAGCTCAGAAAATGGGACTAGTTATCAATCAAGATAAGACAGAATACATGATAATAACTAGACAGGGAAAGGATATAAACTCTGGCCACATACAAGTCGATAATATGAAAATTAAACGAACGGAAACATATAAGTACCTGGGTGCAAACTTCTACTGCTCCAACATGCTGAGAGAAGAAATACAATCTAGAATACAATCTGGAAATAAAGTATACTATGCCCTTCAACATCTCAAAAGTCAAAGTGTCTGTCTTGCAACACCAAGATCAAAATATATAAGATGTTGATTAGACCAGTCATGTTATATGGCTCTGAAACTCAGAGCACAGCTAAAAGAGATGAAGCCTTATTACAGGTTTTCAAAAACAGAGTCTTACGACGAATCTTTGGACCCATCAAAGATGCAAACAGCGGTGAATGGAGAATGAGAAGCAACAAAGAAATTTATAATCTGTTCAAATCACCACTGATCACTGGCATCATGAGAGCTAATAGACAAATGGTTGGGGCATATTGCAAGAATGTCAGATGACAGAGAAGTAAAAACTGTATACACCAGGGAGATGAATGGTCGTAGACCATGAGGCAGATCAAGAAGACGATGGAGAGAAAATATCCAGACAGACGTTGCAAACACTTGGTGTCACCAACTGGAAAGAGAGGGCCAACCAAAGAGATGAGTAGAGGCGGGTGATATCTGCAGCAATGAACCTCAAGAGCTCGGAATGCTGAAGAAGAAGAAGGAGGATGTATTTAATGGCAAAACTGGCTTATTATGGAGACTATTACCTGATAAAACATTCTCCATCAAAAATAAAAAGTGTCATAGTAGGGAAAAACAGTGAAAAGAAAGAATAACAGTGGCCATGTGTTGCAATATGCATGGTAATGAAAACTGACCATTATTCGTGACTGGGAAATTTAAAAATCCCTGTTGTTTAAAAAGCCTGAAAATTGTTTTTGTTAATTACAAAGCCAATTCAAAGGCATGGATGACATCAGAATTGTTTACTGAATAGCTAAAAGAATTTGATTCTTTAATTATGCGTTGAAAAAAAACATTTTTTTTTCATTGTTGACAATTGTTCAACCTTCAGAACAACAGAACTTCTGTTTCTGCTGTCAAATCCACATTAACACTTCGGCCTTGTGATCAAGGTATCACTCAAAACCTTAGAGTCCATTACGGATCTACAATGTCATCAAAACTTGTCGGTCATATAGATGCTGACCTCAGTTCTGATTTCAAAATAACTCTTCTTGATGTTGTCATAATGTTAAAATTTTCATGGGACAGAGTTTTTTCTACAATTATTGCAAACAGCTTTAGACAAGCTGGATTCCTACCTGCATCTGATGTGCCAGTCAAGAGGAATTCTGCACCATCAACAAGCAATGAAAGTAATGTTACTGATATTTTTAGTGGAGCCATTACTTGCATTACAGGCTGTGCTGAGTGTTCACAGCCAAGACCTACAGCTTTAAAACAAAATTGTTACTGAAATACCTAGTTTGGTTTACCTTTCTCTTTTTGATTTTCACTGCATAACTGAAAATATCAATTATCCCCCCCCCCCCCCTTTAACTTGAAACATACTTGACACACTGAATGTCACTTTTCTCCTGAATATTGCCCTTATATCTACTTCAAAGGTGGTTAAATGGCTTTGCTGAGTGATTTCCTACTCCCCTTTCAAGGAAAGGATTAGGATGTTTGCAGCTCAGCTAAGGAAAAGTGATTTACAGAACTTCAGTTTCATGGAAAAGTGCAGGGGTGAAACATTATCCAATCACTCCACTTTCTTGAGTAAGGCACACAAGTTTCTTGATTTTTTTTCCGTGCCCACCTTTACCCTGAACAAACTTTGATATGGGCTTTTTACAAAAGTACAATTCATCACTCAGAGAAAGGCACTGCCCACTTCATCTAAACCTGCTCCTGATAGACCTAAATTATCTTGACCTTTCACCCTAACAATCTGATGGTTTCCATAATTCTCCATCTTTACCTTAACATTCTCCACACTGATGCGGACAGTTGTAAGATCTTTGGTGAAAGCCCTAGAGTAATCTACAAGCGAGCCCAAAATCTTAAAAGCATACTTATCAGAGGCAGACTAGCCCTGATCCATACATCATATCCTTTCAGTACTTCCAAATACTCCTAGATTAGCTGCAAAATATGCCCATCTGTGATCTAAACACTTTTTGTCTGCTTCCCGAAGGCTTTATTTGACAACAGGGAAGTATTTACTTGTGAAATATGTAACCTAATTTATATATTAGGGAAACTGGTAGGAAGCTAGCAGATCGTATCCATGAACATCTTAAGGATATTCGTAATAAGGCTCCTAAACCAGTCTCTATTTTAACAGTTCTGACCACCAAGGTGTTAATGGTATCTCAGTTATCTTGCTCTGAAGATCAAACCAGCCACTACTTCTTAGAAAATTGTTTCATTCAGTTTTGGCGATCTCAGTCCTAGAGGTACCACACTCAACACATCTATATTTAATTTTACTTATTTATTTAAACTTTTTTATATTTCTCCCTTTCTGTTTTCAAACGCTGTCTTATTTATTTTGTTTTGTAGTACTGCTCTTCATATCCATATTTTCCCTCCAATATGTACTTCTTGGTTTCATGCTGTTTAGGATTCTTTGTCTTGTCCGCTGAGTTTTACAGTCAGAGTTTGTGTTGTATTTATACTCTGTTGATAAAGACTGGTTGAACTATTCGGCTTTATCTGTACCCAATTTTTCTATTCCTTCTGTTGAGCTTTCTAATCACATTTTATGTTGTATTTAGCCTTCTCGCCATCATCTTGACTGCAGTCAGCCCCTATTTACGACATATTTAATAACATACTGGGAACCTTCAATATACATAAAGTCAAGTTTATTAAAGGCTGAAGGTTACATAATGACAAATGGTTGCTGTAAATTACCTTCCAGCATCATGTGACACAACAGAGCTGACTTTATGGTTGGCTGCATTGACTTCTTCACATACTACAGACATATTAATGCCAGACACGATAATGTCATGACAACTGCCATCTACACACATGCGGGTGCTAGGAACCATTCCTTGAACATCATCACGGTTGTAGCCATCATTGTGTGCTTGCTGCTCTAATGTTAGTTCATTTGCGACTCCAGACACTCCAACATGAACCATTAACTGTTGACAGAAATCATCTGACTTGATAAGATAAACTTATGGCACATATAGTTAAAGGTTGTAATGTACTAAGACTTCACAGATACAAGGTCATGGCATTATTTGGGGGAGATCTTTAAAGAATTGTGTTACCTTATACACATTTTAGAAGCTTTGACTGCACATGTGTACATAGGTGTCAAATGCCTGTTTGCTATTGTTGCATGTATTTATGAGGTAAAAGATATAAAATAGAACTACTCTTCCTTGCTCTTTTCCAGCTCAGGATCAATTTTATTATTATTATTATTATTCTTTTTAAAAGCAACAATGGCCAATTCAAGCAGCTATAATAAGAAAAAGTAACAATTTCATAAAAGCAAGAAATCTATTAGATTGTTGTACAATACATTTACCAGTTGTGATGAATACTGCTGCACAATTAAATTATTAGAAAATTTTGTAATTTTATAGTTAAATTTAAGTAATCATAAATATTCCTTAGATTTCTATTTTATCAGTCTTTCTAACACAGAAAACTCATCAAAATATCAGAAGCTGCACAAAATTTTAGCCAGAGTGAAATACCATTTCCTAAAATATATATTTATGCACTTTACAACATAAGGTGAAAATACCTGAGAACACATATGTTTTCTCTGGCAACAAACACAAGCAAACCATGGACTATTTCAGAACCATATAAAAGAACACTGGTGTTTTTGAACTTAAATGATTAGGAAGACTTTTTAGATTATCATGGACCAGGCAGAGGGAAAGTAATAAGAGGGACTGGCTCATTTTCAGTATCTTTCCCTGAAACTAAAATAATTTGGCCCTACCGAATGTCATAATTGTTTAGAGAGAGCAGTAATAGAAAGTATGGCTGCTAGGAGAAGAAGCAGGTGTTGACTAGTATGATGGCTGATACAATATATTAAGGACACTTTCATCTTAAAAGTTTTCAAGGCAGAAAAACTGTTAAGGGACAGAGGGTATTTCCAGCAGGCCATGATGACAGCAAAAGAGCTGCTACATGATGAGAGGCCTATACAATAAACAGATGGAAAAGGCATGATGCAATTACAGTGTCAATTATAGTAAAAGGTCTTTACAATAATAATACAACATATGGAACATCAATTTAACTCTTCTGTTAGTATTAAACAGAACCGAATACATGGCAAGGAGAAAAGACAGTTAACAAGACATACTTTCTACAAAATTGTACCAAAATCACAATTACAGTCTTGCCATCAAATTTTAATATTGCCAAACTAAAAACATCTTTGAAGCATGTCATCAAAAAAAGGCACCATTCGTCTATGATTTGGCCGAATTGCAATGCTGCCTCGTCAGCAATATCAAACGGGCACCATGCATCTATGATTTGGCCAAACTGCAAAGCTGCTTAATCAGCAAATGTGAAAACAGTCTGCCATTTGGTTCTTCTTTCTTTTTCATAGTGTTCAGTGGCTGCAAACTTTGGCAGACATTTTTGATTATTTGTCCACTTGTGGACTTTAGTCTTGTTCCAGAACTTGAGTTTTGTATGCACATTCATTCTACAAATCTGGTTTAATTTAATGCAGACTATTGGTTCTTTGCCTGAGACAGATCCACTCCAGCTCTAAAGGAAACACTCATAATTAGTCACCTCTTCTGATATGCTTGTTAGGAAGGCTGTGGATCTATTGCCCCCCCCCCCCCCCTCTTTCCCCTCTTATTCCAGAACTTTAGGTTTGTATGCACATTCATTCTACAGATCTGGTTTAATTTAATACAGACTATTGGTTCTTTGCCTGTCAGACAGATCCACTCCAGCTTTAGAGGAAACACTCCTACTTAGTCACCTCTTCTGATATGCTTGTTAGGAAGGCTGTGGATCTATTCTCCCCCCCCCCCCCCCCCCCCCCACCAAAATGAAGCCCCACAGCCCACAAAGGGAGCCTTTTTTTCAGCTAGCGAGAGCTAAATTCTGTTTTAAGCCTGAAAAAAAAAATGCTTTGAGATATGACAAGTTTATGGGTGTCAATGTATATCTCGTGTCCAGATACGGAGGCATTATTCATAAGTTATGTGTTGGATTATCTTCACAGCACTTTGGACACATCAATAGGTGCTCAGATTCCCCTCTCAACATATTCATCAGCATCGCACAGTTAATAGTTCTAGTTCTCTGCTGGTTGACAAGACTTTGTGTGCGTCCAGTGTGCTTCTCATGCTTGACTAGGCCGATCTTGACTCCCAATTCCCGTATTCCTAGCAGTGATGTGGACATGCTGCTTCCAAAATCCTCAGAACTTCCTATCTCTCTAAAGGCAGTGACAATGTCTGTGTGCTCCATGGGCTGACCATCTTTAATTAATGAGGCAACTGCCAGTCTATCAGCTCTTTACCAAAAACATCTGCATCCCCTGGAACAAATATAAAAGTAACTGCACACACAGGAGAGTTTTGCAATGACTCAATCCACTGTCTGCGTAACCAGCCTGCCTCACAATTTATTTTATTTTCAGAGAACTTTCCCCTTTGACAAAGTATGGAACCAAAATGGCAATTCTGAAGCTTTCCAGTATTTTCACAGATTATATAACACAAATGTGCTTAACAAGTTTTGACTTACCACGGGTTTATGTTTCTCCCAAAGCTTAGGAATAATAATCTTCACTTCCTCATAGATGACAGGAATCTCATATATGACAAGCTCAACCTGATCAATGTCAAGGTCTAACTTGGCCAACTCCTGTACTGAAACCCAGCTTGCATTTATCTTATGCCCTTTAAATGGTCCAAAACCTTTTTTTTTTTCAAGTGGGTAAAAAAAAATATTATAATTCCTTTAACTATCCAGAAATATCAAAAGTATCTACAGATATCATATATGACACAAAAAATTAACTACAGCTGTAATGTATGTGTGCAGATTATTACATCTCACATTGTGAATTTAATTATTTTGAAACATTCCAGCACATATAGGTACAAACATTACTGTAATGATTGTCTTCTAATAAATAACTACTACCTGTTTAGTAAAAACAATATTGAAACATGAGTAAATAATGGATTAAAAACCATAACCATCAGAAAACGTTTACACAAACAATGAATTAATAAGGATTTCTGTACTTAAAAGTTGACATTACCAAAGGCTAACCAACGACGTACAACTGAATGTTGAATTAAGAATCAACTCCATAGCACTCGGGACACTTCCATAAGCACTCCATCCCCATGTTCAACGAAGAGTTCCAATTCCAATGGCACCAGTAACTGTCTGATTGTATATTTGTCTCACCTTTCCCTTGAGTGTTGAGCATCGGCCAGATTCCATGGCAACACCTCGCAGCACCATTCTCCTCAGACTGTAATGATCTATTTGTGCTTCCACACTGTTCAGTCACTCTCAAAAGGCCCTCACAACATTCAGCTTGTCATACATCAGTCCACCACCAAGTGGTGCAGAACCAGCCAGTATTTCTGCCAGCTCATTTCCCTACACACCGGCATGCCTGGAGAGAATATCCAAAAGATGCTAACTACCCAGGACTTTTGAAGTGATGCTTGCCACTCTGCACAGTCTTCTCAAGAACCACATTCCTGTTGCCTCCAAACTCTTCTTAATTTCTTTACTGACATTCCAAGATTTACTGCCATACAAATAATATACAGAGCATATTCAAGATTTCATTATAGAGGCCTAATGGACTATCAAATTACGACAATGAGACCAAAAACAAAAACGGATACCAGAAGGCTTATCCTATTTGGTGCATGGCTAGGGTAGGGTGGTAGTCTTTAAACTGACATTATGAAGTCCCCGTGTTCGCAAGCAGTGTGGTGTCACATGCTTACATCCTTGTTGAACGTTAAATTAAGAATCGATATCACACCACTCAGGATGCTCCGTCTCAATCTTCAGAAGCAAACGAAGAGATCCAATTCTGATGGCACCAGTAACTGATTGTATATCCGCTTGCCCTTTCCCTGAGTGTTGAGCGCTGGCCAGATCCCCTTGTAACTCCTTGCAGTGCCATTCTCCCCAGACCGTAATGAACTATCTGCGCCTCCGCCTGTTCAATCGCTACCAAATAGCCCTCACAACATCCAGCTTGCCATTACATCAAGCGTTCCAGAACTCGGCAGTCATGGCTTGCTCATTTCCCCAACACCCCCCAAAAAAAACCCCCGGCATGACCTGTAGAGAATACCAAAAGATGCTTGCCACTCTGCACGAACGCAGCCTGTCGCCACTCAAAACTTATCGAGCCCGCTCACATGTCCAATCAGTCTTCAGATTGCACCACCCAAGAACTTCCTCTTTTCAGTCTGTGACTCTTAGCTCTACCCAGAACTTCATGCAGGAGGTGCTTTTTGTATGCAGCTACTATGAGACATGACTCTGCTTGCAGAACTTTGAACCTATCAGCAATAGTAGGCAGTGCAAGTATGTATCACACACATACTACCGGGGTATCTCTTGTAAATCCCAGAATTATCCACATGGCTTCATTCTGTCTGCGTTCAAGTTTCATCAGCTGACTGTTTGATATGGTAAGCATTCCAAGTCCATAATCTATCATTGACAGGATCACATGCTGGAACACTGTGAACAGCATTCTTTGTTCCATGCCCATTGCTGACATAATCTTGAGAGCATTGAGTCCTTTTTGGCATTTCACCACAACTTCCTTCACACGATCCCCGAAAGACAGGCTTCTAACGAAAATGATACCCAGGTACCTCAGTCAACTTTCTTTTGTGATGTTACTGCTATTAACTGTGAGGCTTTGAACATTTGCTCTTACGGGTCTATTGTCCAGAGAGCACCACAAAACAGCCGCCTTTTCTGAGTTTATGACAGCACCAATTTATGTACAGTTAACACCTGCAAAATGAGGTGCCTGAGAAAAACTGCCAACTTAACCATCCGAGACAAAGTTAGAAATTATATTATCATATAGACAGTAGGAACAACCCTATGCAGCAAATTCATTGAGAAATGAAGATGAAATAGTTTGGTCGTTTAGTAACAATGCAGCAAGAACAACTGCCAAAGCAGACACTACACATGAAAAGATCTGAACTGAAATCAAGAGGCTGCACTAGGATAACATTGATATGGAATGACAATAGCCAATGCTGCCCATCAAGCAATGGATCACAAACTGTTCCTTCCCACAATGCTTAATGGCAGGAGTGGAAATTGATGATGATGATGATGATGAAAAGTTGACAAAACCTACACATGTAAATGTCATTACTAGTCTAAATAATGTCAGTGTTGGAAAACAACCTGTACTCTTCTCCTACCTGATTTTTTTCAAGTCGCTTGAGGGTATGCAATACTGGTTAGTAAACTTTCGAAACTTCTACAGCCACCACAAACACTATAATTACTGCTGCTACTGCTTTAAACAAAGTTTAATTTTAAAGAAGGAATGGTCTTTGAAGTTTGGTTACTCATTTTGTGTGTTTATGTGTGTGTGTGTGTTGCGTACGTGCGTGTGCACGCATGCGTGCATGTGTGTGTAGGTGTTTATTTATCTTAAAGAATGCATATGACAATAACATTTTGCAATATAACTAAATAGCAGTAGTAGTATGACGTTTTCAGGCAATCAATGCCAAGGGGTCTGCTACATAATTGCCAGCAGCATAAATCGAACCAGGTATCTCAGAATTCTAAAGTAGGCTGTTCCTGGTTTGCAGTGCCAAAGCACAAGTGCTGACTAGACTTAGTAGTATAAGTTAGACTAATAGTGATAACATAATAAAATATTATTAATATTAAATATATAAATAATAAAAGCAAAATTAGTTTTACTAATATATTGACTACTATCAGCAGCGTTGCTAATGAGTTTCAAACAGGATGTTTATGGGTGTTGTTTAAGTGGCCCTCTAGCACGCATGCACGGTAAAATTAACAAATCTCTGAAACAGCAAAGAATTCACCCTCATTGAAAATATATTTTGCCGTACACTTTACACACACACAAATTATCTCTATACAAGTATCAGAAGTTACTGCAGAAATACCAGGATGTGATATTACATGGCTTCTGGACGAGAACAATAAATCCTTTTTTCGCCAGCACATATTGTAGTTGACAGTAAGTAAGTTCACAAAAATCTGCTAAAATAACGAGACAGCTGATTTTTGTTAAATTCTACATTATTTTTACATAAATATGGTAAGTTTTACAAGAAATAGGAATAGCTTACAGCAATTGTTGAAAAAGATTTCATTGACCACATCGTTTGAATTTAAAGTCAGTACCTAACCCTTTGTTTCTATAAAAAAAAAGCCCTGGATACAATGATAATTTAACAACAGACTGGCATCACTTATCACACTTTTCTTTCAACTTCTGACAATCCAGAGTCTCCATTCCAGGACAGTCTAATACAAATGAATGCAAACACATTCTTCCATACTAGTAAATGGATAACACACAAATAGTACATACTTACCCACAAAGATAGATGTACACAGTAGCAATTATAATGTATGCCATTTTTTTAATAATCATATTTACACAGTGTGTAAAATCTAATTACTATGTTAAATAGCATCCAAAATATTTAACATACTGCTCTATTAAAACGTTTACAAACAAGTTAAAACTGTAGAGTAAAAAATACAGTGGCTATGCTGGTACACCATACACATTTGCTTAATGGTTTGAGAGTTACAGTCTCCTTGGGAATTGTTGCTTGAGCTATGATGCTGAGCTTTTTGCATCGTTCTCGACAGGGGACTAGCCATTGTGCAGAAGAAGATCAAGCCATAGGGGTTAAACTATGTACATCAGCCCGCACAATACAGAATAAAAGCTCCCCGTGTGGGTTACGGGGCCCCATTGTGGGGAAAACAAGAATAGACCCACTGCCTCCCCAAAAGCATGTCGTAAGAGTCGACTTATTGGGGAGCTTCCTTTGAAGTCGGAGTGCATCTGCCGGAGAGGCAAGGAATCAACAGTCTGTATTCAAGAAAATGAGATCTGTAAAACTGATGCACACGCAACACTCAGGTTCTGGAGCAGGACTGCAGTTCAGTAGTGGACGAGCAACCAGAACTTTCCGCGAGAGTGTACAGCTGGTGATCGCGAAGAAGAAGAAGAAGAATAAAAGCAGAACACACAGTGGCTAAGGTGTTTGGCCATTTGCCTCATGGTATGAAAGTTGTAGGCTCTCTGGTAATCGTTACTAGAGCTATGGAGGTTGTGAATCATTTTTAATTAAGTGGATATTTTTTACTTTAAACCTTTTTGAATCATTAAACTCATAAAGTGCTTACTTAAAACTGGTGGCCATTTTTATATGTTATTAGGCTCATATTGCATCATATGAATCTAAGATATGTATACTCAGATAGGCCTTACTGCCCGAATTGCAATGATGTATAGTTGTTGCTAAAGGATTCATTAAGAAACAAAATAGTTATTGCCATAAAAAGCAAATATTTAGTCAATTCAACCCTTCATTATACTGGGACAAAGCACCAAATCCATCTTCTGTCAGATTCCACTATAATTTGTCTATGGTAGTATCTGCCACTAAAATGTTAATATCTCTACTGAGAATTGACCTACTGGCTTCACTTGGGTATCACTGGATTGGATATTTTAATCTCTATCCAGCTATGATAGTAGTTTCAAAAGTAAAAACCCAATATTATAAAATTCCACTAGCATTCCTATTAACTCTTTGAGTCCCAAGGGGTTTAGCATTAAAGGCCCAGTGGGTAGTAAATATAGTCATAAAATCAGCGCATCATGCGTTCACTGCGCTTCTAGGTAGGAACCTATGAACGTATGATGCGTTTCTTGGGACTCAAAGAGTTAAGTTCTGAGGAACGCATGACACATTAATTGGTTACTATCCAGGCGGCCAATCAGCGCGTGGTGTGTTGAGGTTTTAAATTTACAACTGGCCAGTACAATGATGCAAACTTGCGGATTTGAGTGGTACTTCCTGTTCTTTGTGTTTGATTTTACACGTGGTGACCAATAGGCATATTAAAAAATGTGGTTAAAAGCATAAAAAGTAGCATCTTTGTGTGTTTTATCGAGTTACTAAGTGTCTGAGTGAATATTATATGGCTCCTGAGCAAACATCTTCATGCTTGCCAACAAGATTTATGACTTCAGAAGCCTCATATTTAAAAAAAATAACATGGATTTATCACTTATTTGAAGCTGGACAGTTACGAAGCAGACTTGTTTCAGTTATTGATAGAGTCAAACTTTGATGAGGCATAGCACTGATATATACCTCACAAAGAGAATAAATATTAGTGAAAAAGGCAATATTCTTCAGTAACAGTTAAACAGATCTAGTGTGATTCCCTTAATATTTGGGAACAGAGGCTATAAAATTACGGGCACATTGAAATTGAGTGTTATGAGAGTTCATTTTCTTGTGAAAATACTAATTATTCTCTGAGGTAATTTTACTTTACCACAAGACTGTGCTCTGTTATGATGTAATACAAAAGTTTTTCTGGAACGAGATCTAATACAATGGACAGATTGTGTTTATATTTTATTTATATATTACTAAGTGGTTCTAGTTAATTTGTGATTCATTTTGGGGCACTCTTCCAAATACTGGAACACTACTCCTCCCCACGGCGCTTCAACAATGGATCAAAATTTATTCCTCCCCAAGTCACTTCAAAAGATCGAAAACTATTCCTCCTCACGGTGCTTTGCATAACGTCTAAACATTGTTATCCATTGAGCAATAACGGCAGAAGTGGAAAATGATGATGATGGCCTAAATGTTTCTACTACATAACCTCTTGAGACTCTCAAAGGGATGTTTTTCACAGTGAATAATCAGGGACCGGTATTCGGAAGAGTGTCCATTTTAGATATACTTTTTCGAGTTTTCCTCAAGTGCAATGTGGTAAGTCACTGGTAAGTCATAGACAAATTATTTCTTTTCTTTTACTAATTTTTCTAAACTCACCATGTGTTTATTTGCTAATAATTAACCTTTTACAAAATGTGTTTTGTAGAAGTATTCTACCTAATATATAATTCCTCAAAAATCCCTGCTCACTTTGATGTATATGTACTCGGTAGTGGAATAATTAGTATAGACTATCAATGTTTTAATGTATGAAATTTTAAAACTGCGTTACCACCCCTTGGGCCTCTGATGCCAAACCCCCCGGGACTCAAACCGTTTTCATATATTTTACTATTTTATAAACATATATTAATATAGTTCTTAATACTAAATTAAAATAAAATGTTGTACCTGTAACAACAACACACTTTTTAATTGACGGCATAGTGAATACACCTTGTATAAATATACAATTTTGTTTACAACTTTTAGGTCTGAAATCTGTGTCCCTTGCAAGTGCTGCCACTCAACATATATATCATCTTCTACCTATCTACTAACAGATGACAATATCAACTGTCGAAAATGGAAATCACGGATTTGTAGTAAAATAACGGCAGCAACAAATATCGTCTACGTTAATTTAATGGTGCTGAGGAATGTTTGTGATCTTTCCGTCGTATAGCAAATATTTTTAAAGTACTTCAATAAACACTATTATTAAATACGGATGCACATTACGACATTACTCGTGAATTTGTAATTCGTCTAGCACAGTGTTTCTCAAAATTTTTATACACGCGGTCTACAAAAACGTGGAGAATTGTATCGCAGCCCATCTGGTAGATAACTAAAACAGAAAGCAAACACCCACTCTTCCAAAATTTAGATGGCAGTTTATTTGTGAAGCTCTGTTATAAAATTATACTTGTGGAGAATGTGACTGCTGTTGCTTAGAGGCTGGAGCGTTAATTATGAGAGATGAAACGCTAAAAAACGTTCATTTTATTTCTTTGTTTTTATTACGGACACGGCCGAAAAAGTCTTTTCACGCAAATATCAAGTCGAAAATGCTACCAACAATCTGACAGCTCTATAACTCAGATTTGGATATTCTTTTTCTTTTTTTAAATTGATATCCAAAACTCAGTGTATAATCGAGTCTTATTTCTTCTGCTTCTTCCTCTTCTTTTCGTTCTTTTTGATTCTTTCATTTGAACACCAGCTGCCATTGTAAGCTTTATGAAATCTTTGTGGTTGTCTTTGGGTGGGTGTACTCTATCCAGACTTTGTCCTCTATAATATTAAAGTAACGGTTGGGAAATTAAATTTCCACCAGAACAAATTCGCATTGCTCTGTGGTCGTCATCATCATCATGTAGCAGGTCCTTTGCAGAACGTCGCTCTCATCACAGTCTGCCTGAAAGAAACTCGGTACCTCGCCAGTTCTCCCGCCTCATGCAATTTCACACTCAAGGAGTCACTTTTATCGTCTGCCCATCTTCGTGTCGGTCGGCGCCTGCCCCTTCCAACCATGCCTTCTGCTATAATTTTTTCCAGTCCTTCGTGGCGCTGCTCTGTGGTAGTTTGACAAAAATGTGACCCAGTAGATTGCCTTGAAATATTTTCGGTGTAGTGTTACTGGATAGCGCAACGTAAAAAGGCATGGCTGTTTTAAGGTCGTCTCTGATTTCGGGTTCGGTAACATGCAGCCAAAACAGTTGGACAAGAGAACAATTCACAGTTTGTCCTCCTGCTCGCCAGACGGTATGTAAGACAGACTGAACAGTGACACGCCAGTGACGATATATATATATATATATATATATATATATATATATATATATATATATATATATATAACCACCAGCTGTGAGATAAACGACTTCAGGTCGCGGTCTTAGTTTCCAAAACAACATCAGAGTCGTTCGCTGCTGGGCTCTACATTAGCAAAGACGGTAATGACAGTCACTTCATCTTTTTCTTCCATAACACTTGTTTTAAGGGGCACTTATAACTCATGAGGAAAACTGCGTAAGTTTATGCTCTTTGATAATAAAGATTGTATGCGTGTGCTCCACGAGTGTTCGGGTTGGTGTGTTCTTTGGCAGATTTACCTGTCACCAGCCTGCAACACAGCCATAGATTAAAACCCCAGACAAGCAGGTTCTTGACAGTGGTGACGAGTTGCTTGCTTGAGTACACATCTTATTCAAGCTATTCACACTAATTTACAGGTTCGTACGATTTCACGCGTATATATACACCCGTTCCACATGTAGTCCCATGCAAACATATCACAACCAGGTCTGTGCATCCGAGTATCCAAATTTATATGGACAGCGGGTGATTATGAGTTATATCCTTTTGTAGTTTTTACCTCTATATTCCCGTATACTGACAGATTCACACACACACACACACACACACACACACACTTATATATATATATATATATATATATATATATATATATATATATATATCCTTATATCTTATGTAGTCAGCCGTATATATATATTCCCACACTGGTGCCTTGTTGTCAGCTGGGTTACCGCTCTGTGAAGCCGCGGGAAAAAGCCAAACACCATAAAGCACCGTCTCCAACAGTGTTCCTTTGCAGGACAACCAAGGCCGTCACAATCAGTTGTTTTGATTAGCCTGTATTCCCCCCCCCCCCCCCCCCGGGGCCACCAAAGGGTGGAGAAGTAGTGAGGTCAAGAAAGATTGTAAAAAAGAGAACTAATTGCTCGAATGTGCCAAGCGATTTAAAAGTGAGGTCGGAAGAGTGATAATATCTTCTTATCCCCCATGCGGGATGCATTTTTATTTTGTCTTACTAAAGATTTCCAGGATATGTTATAAACTGAGGATTATTGTTAATGTGTTATTTTCTGGAAAAATAAAATGTTTGGAAATTCCTTACTAAAGTGCCTTACAACAACAACAACAAAAGTCATCTCAACATTGCAAAGTTTCATTTATAACAAAGCCACTGGATACATCAGAATGGCTCACATTCCGATTATCAAGATACAGGCAAAGAGATTTACGCACCCGGATCTGCATAGACCAGACGCGCTTGTCATCACGTTACGAGGCCTTGGAGCTTATACCAGGGTGTTGCGTGCTGATTTGGGTGAGTGTTATAGTGTGTGAAGGGACAGAGTGGTATGATAGAACTTTCTGTGAGTTCACGGAAGTAGTAATAGGCGGTAATACGGCGCGCATTTCAGAAATCGATCTCTCTTTATCCTTAGTAAAAGATGGCGGCCAAAAGTGATTGGTTCTTTCGTGTGGTTGCAACCACACGAACGTGTGGTTGCGACCGCCAGCATCTTTGTCCTTAGTAAATATCGATCGGGAGGCTGATGACAACACAAGTGATTGGTTTTAGGGAAAGGTATAGGAAATCGATACTTTGTAGATGCATTATTAGTTTCATAACTGCAGGTGACAGGTGGCATTATATAAAACGGGGGCAAGCAGGAACACTATTTAGGTGAGCAGCGGGGGGCAGGGGACCCGGGGCGACTAGGAAGGCACCATGATGACCGGGGATGTATTAGAAAGGGCAGATTGGGCGCGGTGTCTCCATAGCAACTGGTTATTCATTGTCGGTATGTGGGTATTTTCTTTATTAGTTTCATAACGGCAGGTGACAGGTGGCGTTATACTGGTTATTCATTGTCGGTATGTCGGGGTGTGGGTATTTTTTAGGCGGATTGGTTTAAGGAAGACAAATATTTCTTTAGTGCAGGGCCAGCTGTTGGTTAAAAGTGGCGGATGATTCATTTCCCCATGGCGGCCAAATCTGCTTGGTCTCTCTGGGAGGCTGTTCTTTATCCTTAGTAAATATCGATCGGAAGGCTGATGACAACACACTTGACGGGTTTCAGGGGAAAGACATATGGTGCATAAATCGATATGTTGTCTCCATAACAAATGGTTATTCATTGTCGGTATGTTGGGGTGTGGGTATTTTTCTTCGGGGAAAGGCAAATATTTCTTTAGTGCAGGGCCAGATGTTAGTTAAAGTGGCGGATTACCGGGGATATATTAGAAAGGGCGACTCGAGCGCCATCATCATCATCTGTGTCATGGTATTGAAGGGATGGTTTGAGCTGTAGTAAAAAGGAGGACATACGACAGAAGGGTAGCTGTCTTGTCATAGTGTCGAGGGCAGAAGAGAAGGGGCTTACCTGACATCGATGAGCAGCGCGGCGGGCGGGGCAAGGGACACGGGGCGACAGGGCGACTAAAACGGTTGGTGTTGGTTTATGGGTTCTGTAATAGACAAAAAAAAAAAAAAAATTAGAAGTGGGTTGTTAGCGGGAGATATATATGTTATAAAACGAAACAAGTTACGGGATATGAAAATAGACATAGGCAGCAGTGACAGCCGGCAGAGGGGGAGGGGGCGTTTTAGGGTTTAGGTAAAGAAACCTAGAAAGGTGGTTTGATGACCGGGGATATATACTAAAGGGCGACTTGAGCGCCATCAGCATCATCATCATCTGTGTCATGTGAGCGAAGATCGACTGCTCAAGGATGGTTTGAGCTATAGTAAAAAGGAGAACGTACAATAGAAGGGTGGGCGGCTTGTCATAGTGTTAGATGTTGATAGTTTAAGTTTTAGTTAAAAAGGAAAACTTTAACAAAGAGGCGACCGTTGTGACATATTATTGGATATTGACCGCTCAAGGAGGGTATGAGTTAAAATAAAAACAATATGGTAATTTATAGCAAAACGGCGACTCTTGTGACATATTGAGGAGGCCGACCGCTTATGAAGGGTTTGAGTTGAAGTAAAAAGGGGACTTTATGGCAAAACGGCGACATTTGTGTCATAGCAGCGAATGCCAACCGATCATTGAGGTTTTGATTTTAGGTAAAGATGGGAATTTATGGCAAAATTGCAACTTTTATGTCAACAATAATAAGGAATGCCGGCCGCGCAGAAATAGTTTAAGCTGTAGTAAAAAGGAAAACATACGACATTTGGCGTGTGTCTTATCATAGTGTTAGATATTGATAGGTTAGGGAGGGTTTAGTTGCAGTAAGAACGAAAGCGTTAACAGAAGGGCGACTTTTGTAGCATATTATGGGAGGCCGGCCACTCATCCGTAGTTTAAATTGTAGTGGGAAAAATAGCAAAAGGACGACAGGTGTGGCAAAGTGTCGGGTTCTGGCCGTACATATATGGTTGAGCTGTAGTTTAAAAAAAGGAGAACTGTTGTGTCATATTGTTAGATATCACCGCTCATAAAGGGTTTACGTTGTAGGCCAGAGGCGGCGCTACCAGGCGACGAAGGTGGGCTGGGGCAATTTTAGGTGCCAAAAGGGCGCTATGTCTTTCTCGACAGACAGCGTAAACCACACACGAGACGTTACATGTCTTTCACTGGTCTTTACAAGGCAATAACTGAAGACGCCAGATAACCC